TGCTGAACGTGTAGGGACTTATATATTAGATTTACCCAGTGGTTATAGATTAGAACTAAATAATTGTTATTTTGTTCCTTCTATAACAAAGAACATAATTTCCATTCCTATGTTAGACATTGAGGGTTTTTCTTTTCATTTTGCTAATAACACTTGTTGTTTTTCACAAAATGGTATTGTGTATGGAAATGCTCCTCTTATGAATGGTTTATATGTTCTTAATTGTAGACATGACATATTAAATGTACAAAATAAAAGACCAAGGTTAAGTAATCTGAAAAATACCACATATCTTTGGCATTGTAGGCTTGGTCATATTAATGAAGCCAGAATAGCAAGGCTAAGTAAATTAAATTACTTAACGCCATTTGATTTTGAATCATATGGTAATTGCGATTCGTGTCTCTCAGCTAAAATGACGAGTAAACCTTTTCTTGGAAAAGGACTACGGGCCAAACAAGTGCTTGAATTGATTCACACAGATGTGTGTGGACAATTCCCAACTCAAGCTAGAGGAGGTTTTTCTTACTTCATCACGTTTACTGACGATTTCTCTAGGTTTGGATTTGTGTATCTTATGAAACACAAATCAGAAGCTTTTGAGAAATTCATGGAGTATAAGGCTGAAGTAGAGAAGCAACTTGACAAGAGTATCAAGACTCTACGATCTGATCGTGGAGGGGAATACTTGAGTAAGGAGTTTCTCGATTACTTAAAAGGTCAGGGAATTCAGTCACAATGGACTCCTCCAAGAACACCTCAATTGAATGGTGTCTCTGAAAGGAGAAATAGAACCTTGTTAGACATGGGTAGGTCCATGATGAATTCCACATCTCTTCCAACATCTCTTTGGGGGTATGCATTGCAAACTTCGATATACATTCTGAATAGAGTTCCATCTAAATCAGTGCAAAAGACACCATATGAGTTATGGTGTAATAAGAAGCCTGTTCTTTCACATATTAAAGTGTGGGGTTGCCCTGCTTATGTAAAGAAATTGCACACTGATAAGTTAGGAGCTAGAAGTGAGAGATGTTATTTTGTGGGGTATCCTAAAGAAACTAGGGGATATTATTTCTATCAACCTGAGGAACATAAAATCATTATTTCCAGACAGGCACGATTCCTAGAAGAAGACTTGGTCTTCAAGGAATTCAATCGTGAGAAGATAGTACTAGAAGAAATTCAAGAATCACAAAATAACATAGAGGATGAAGACTTGTTAGATGGTCAAAACAAGGATTCAGTGGGAGGATTAAGTGGAAGTATGTCTCTAGGAGGATATCCTTCAGCTAGTGGGAGTAATACAGGAAGCACCTCGCACAAGCAAGTGGTTCCTATTAGGCATGAAAGAAATGACATGGTTGTCATTCCTTCTACACCTAATTCTCCTTCTCTGGAAACACTTAAAAGTGTAGCACCAGAAAATTCTCCGAGCATTGGACAGTCCAATACAAGAGAACCTCTTCACAATCAGAATGAGCAGCCTGAACAATCGCAAAATATTCAACTTCGTAGGTCTACTAGGATTCGTCATGAACCAACTAGGTTTGGCTTCCTCGTGGAGGATCATGATGATGTTAAGATTCCTGATACGGATGAACTTGAGATCTACATAAAAGCAATATTAGATGTTGATTCATAGAGGTGGCGAGAAACCATAAAATCTAAAATGGACTCGATGTGTATCAATCAAGTATGGAACTTGGTTGACTTGCCTATTGGGATTGGACCCATTAGATGCAAATGATTTTCAAGAAGAAAATTAATGCTGAAGGCAATGTGCAAACATACAAAGCTAGGCTAGAGGCAAAAGGTTATAGTCAAAGAAAAGGAATTGACTATAGTGATACCTGTTCGCCAGTTGCAAAACTGAAGTCCATTTGGATTTTGCTTGCTATAGCTGCATAATATGATTATGAGATTTGACAAATGGATGTTAAAACCCCTTTCCTTAATGGAAACCTCAAGGAGGAGGTGTACATGGTACAGCCTGAAGGTTTTATATCCATATCAAATTCTAATTCAAAATGTTAATTAGAGAAATCTATTTATGGGCTAGAACAAGCATCTAGGAGTTGAAATATTAATTGTGATGAAATAGTCAAATCGTTTGACCTCATCAAATGAAATGAGGATGCTTGCGTGTTTAGAGTGCGCAACAAGGATAGCGTGGTCTTTATAATCATATATGTTGATCATAGAGAATGATATTCCCTTATTGAAGTCCGTGAAAGAATGGTCACCCAAAATCTTCATGAATATCTTTGGTCTATGGTAGACAGAAAGAACTAGTAGAATTTAATTATTCTATCACTAGTTTCATGTATGATAAGAAAGACTACGAGTCACAGTCAGTATATGTTTTTAGTCTCAATGTAATAGTAGTGCTGAAAGAGTTGCAAGTAAGAAACTACTATAAATTCGACAACTAGAGCCTAGTAAATTGTTGCATTTGATGCAACATAGGTAAGCGTTTAGATACGTTAGTTCCTTAAAGAAATAGGGGCAATTCCTAGCGACAGTTATTCAATAATTGTTATTGTGACTGTACCGGTGTATTTGCACAAGCTAAGGAACCAAGATGCAAAGTAAGGAACTAGAAATTACCAGTGTGCTATCATGTTTTTGATAACAAATAGCAAGAGGAGAAGTTGCAATAGAATGTCTTCCCATAGAGGACAATTTGACTGGTCCATTCACCAAACCTTTGAGATGCGAGAAACATACTAGACTTTTGAGAGTCTGGGTGTTAGACGCATCGGTGATTGGCACTAGGCCAAGTGGGAGATTGTTAGTATATATGTCCTAGCGACAATCACTTTTTAGAGATATATGTACTTGATCACATTTAGTTTTATATATTTGATATATACGGTATTACACATTGATGATTAAGTATTTCGATTGTCAATATCTTATTCATAATTGTGTTCCCTTGAATTTATGTTATCAATAAGTAAGTGGGAGCTTATATGATATAACATAAGGTCCAAAAATAACCCCAATCAATGATCATCAAGAAAGGGATATTGATGATATGCGATAAGATTGGTATGTGGACTGCATCATACTTTTAGAAAGTATAGTTGATCTCACAACTATGAGTTCCTGTAATTCATGATGGTCACATAGATATTTTAGAGAATATTGGCATACCCACCGAGAAACCATTTGATAAGTTCTATTCATGTGTCTATGGAATTATCGGCGTATAGAGTAGTGTAATAGTCCTCTGACTTGGGGTCAATACGTACTACATGTGCGGAGTGATGTACTTTGACCATGACCAACGCTTGCACTCCAGTCGGGGTAGATACGGCATGCGTTGGGTGCATCACGAAGCACATGGAGTAGTAGTTGAGCCAAGAAAGGATTCATTCCTCGTAATAGATTAAGAGAGAACATTCTACTTCTCATATCTAGATGGATCATAAAGTCATTGGCCAATGCAAAGATATATATTCGTTTTGGATATCGAATATGATCGTTATGGATCATCTAGAGAGATTGAGAGATAGAGACTAAGTTGTTGGAATAGACACAATATCAAGTTCCAGACTTAGTTGAATGTTCGCTGAATGAAAGGACCGTATCACTATGAGCTCTATATTACAGGGAGTTTGTATAGTCCTCGCAAACGTCCTTATATATTAAGTTTGTCTGGAGATTCGTCTAGGGATTCACTAAGACCTCAATTTGATCAGTGCTTAATATATAAGGCCCTATGGGTCACACAACAAGTGATTATACCTTCCGATTGAATTGTTAGAAGGAATTAAATATTATTAATTGGATTAAATAATATTTAATTCGTAATACTGAAAATGAATTAAATATTAATTAGATTAAACATATTTAATTCATGAAGCTGAAGGAGAGTTCTATTTGATAGAATTAATTAAGTAAGATAAATTAGATTTATCATACTTAAATAAGATGTATTTATTATTAAATAAAGTAGATATTTTCTTTTGTAATTTGGAATTAAAAGAAAAGTAAATAAAATAAATATTAATATATAATAATTAGAAAGTGGCGTGCAGCCACATCTCAATTATTATTATTATTATTTTGTTTTGTTTTATCTACTTATTTAATTAATTAGGAGTATTGGTCCTAGTAGGATTAGAACTCATTAATTAGAAAGACTTTCATTGTGATTGGGAAACTAGTTTCGAACTAGTATAAATACATCCTTCTCCTTCATAATTTGTAGACAAGTTTTCAGATTCAGTATTACCAGTTTATTTCCCTGTGAAGAGATTTCCTAGCCTTTCTCTTAGGGAGATCTAACCGTTCTTTCGGGAAGGAGAAATCACGTGGATACCAAAGGTCAAGGATTATCACCGCTAGGCTGGAAGATCTGTAAGTTCTAACTCAGATCTGCTATTATTATCATATTCGTTATTTTGTCATAATCAGGGAAGATCTGTTTGGGAAAATTTTAAACTTCCGCTGCCGTACTTTCGAGGTACGTTACATCAATTTCCTAACAAAAAGAGCATCCCATTACCGACGGACGTTTTCCAACCGATTTAGTGGTGGCAAATTTGCAACGAACTTCGGACGAAGTTCTAACGGATGACGTCGGGATTCGGTGGGAATGGCGTAGGAATTTATGTAGCCCTGCTACGGATATATCCGTCGGAAATCTGTGCGGAAGCATTTACAAATTCGTCGGGATTCCGTAGGAAAGCGGTTGGAAGTATTTGGCTTCTAGTTCGGATGCAATCCGTCAGAACTCGGTTGCAAAGGGATTGGAAAGATGTTTCGAATTCGTCGGAAACTCGTTGGAATTCCGTAGGGAATAGATATTTTTTAAACTCACCGACAATTATTTGGAGAAATCAATTTGAATCAAACCTTATCCCTGCGGCCCTCCTCCATTTATATTGCACTTCAATTGCCAAGATAATAGGCACCTCCCATTCATCTTCCTAAACTATTTTTTTAAAATCTTGGTTTCGTCTCTATACTTTTATAATGTATATGATAGATAGAAGTTGGATGTACGATAGATACGATCCAATTTCAAAAAATGTTTCTGCAAATTTCATGAATGGTGTTGAAAGTTTTGTTGAATTCGCTCGTCTTCAACATGAATTTAGTGGCGGAGAAGAAATTCGATGTCCATGTCGGAAGTGTGGTAATCGACGATTTCATGCTATTGAGGAAGTAAGGCTTCATCTTTTTAGACATGGATTTATTGCCGGTTATGAAACGTGGACTTCTCATGGAGAATTGTTACAAGGTTCGACATTTTTGAATTCTCAAACCCCAAATGAACATACTACCGAAAATGTTCATGGAGCATATTCAGGGAGTCAAGATGAGACACCATGGGGTCAAAGAATGTTAGAAGACATTTTCGGAGGACACGTGCCGATAAACTCCACAAACTACGATCCTAATTGTGGAGAACAAAGAGGAGATGAATCACCAAATGAAGATGACATATCATACTTGGCGGATCATTTTCAAAATGTTTTGCAAGCTGCAGATCAGCCTTTGTATGAAGGTTGTAATGAAGGCTCCCAATTGCAATTTGTTTCTGAAGTAATGAGTATCAAATCCGATTTTAATGTTCCACAAGATGAAGTCAATCAGTGGCTGGAATTATTTGGTCGATACTTACCCCGTGACAACATTGTTCCTAGAAATTATTACGAGACAAAAAAACTTGTGGCTGAATTAGGTCTTCCTGTGGTGAAGATTGACGCGTGTCCTAACGGGTGTATGTTGTTCTGGAAAAATGATAAAAAGTTGGAAGTGTGTACATTTTGTGGTGAGAAGCGTTACACATATGATGCATATCAGGATTGTCGGTCAAAAAGACAGAAACGAACTGCTATTTCAGTATTACGTTATCTACCTTTGACACCGAGGCTGCAAAGATTATATGCATCACGCCAAACTGCTGAGTCCATGATATGGCATTCTACTCATGAATCAATTGGAAATTTGATGGGTCATCCTTCTGATAGTGAGGCGTGGAAACACATTGACAATTTATATCCCGACTTTGCGAATTCTCTTGACATTGTAGGGTTGTTATCACTTCTTCTGTTTTTCTATCTTCTTGGGTTTGGAGCATGGATAAATCTTGTATCGCCCACTGTAAGCACTTGATTGATTTGAACAGATGGATGATACGTTTTTTGAGATTCCAAGTGTATATTAGTAACGATTTTGGGAAAACAGAACTTTTCCCAAAATTTCAAAATTCAAAATAATAATTTAGCATTGTTCAAGTACTTGATCGTTTTGTGAGTTGTTTCTGACAAAGTGACTTTTCTTTAAATATTCTTCTCGTTTAAATGCTAAAACCATGTTGGAAACGGTCCAATGACAATATGTAAGATAAACTGTTAAGCATACCAATTATTTGAAGTACAGACAGTGGCGGATGTATGATTTAAGTTTCGAGTGTTCATTTTTTTCTATAATTAAAATTTGAAATGACAATAAATAATTAAACTAAATTTATACATGTATACTACCATATTTTTCAAAATCCTAAGTATTCATATGAATACCTTTGAACTAAAGTGACTCCACCATTGATTACAGATCATTGTAATCAAATTTAGTCAGAGCATCTTCAATGGTGTAATATGCACGGAGCACATGTGTCATGAGAGATATTCATATAAATATTAGCAAGTAAATTATCTCTCTTTATTTGAATGATTTTATACAATTTTTGTAAGTTTTTCTCGACAATCAAGAAGACCGTGTTGATGTTGACATTGTGATTGACATTGCAGAGAAAACTTTATCAAACATTTATAAAATTATTTAGAGAAAAGTGTCAAATGGGCCCTCGTACTATGTTCGGAAAGTCAGTTATACCTTCGTACTTTAAGTTTCGTCAATTAAGTCCTCCTACTTTGTTATTTTCGTCAAAACCAATTTTTACCAGGTAACCTGCTCGGTCAGCAGGTTACCTGCTGATGTGGCGCACACGTGGCCTGACATGGCGCACACGTGGCAGGTCACATCAGAATTTTTTCCTTTTTTTCTTTGTTTTCTCTTTTCTTTCTTTCTCTTCCCTGCCAACCTTCTTATTCTCCAGACCCATCGGCATGAACAGTGACCGAAAAAATGGAGGGTGTTCGGAAAATTAAACAAAAAATATGAGGAGGTGCGCCTGTTCAAGGCGACCTCCTTTGCATATTTTAATTTTTGTGCCAAGCCCCGATGTCGCCGGAAAAAATGCTGGAGGAGTCCTAAAAAAGGAACTTCCGATCAGCTATAAACCAGCCACCAAATCACGTCCTCAGCTATTCAAAATTGATATGGAGCATCGTTCCTTGCCAACAAACTCCAATTTAGTATAAAAAATAAATAAAAATCGCCCACATTTGAGTTATGAGCAATAATCGATCTTTGAATGAATAGTGTGTGTTGTCCTTACGGGTTGTTGCCGAAGAAAAACCGGAGAAAGAAAGAAATAATGAAAGAAGGAGCTTGAGGTTTTTTTTGGAAGAAGGGTGGGTCGTTGGGAAAGGGGAAACGGGGAGAGAGAAAAGAAAGGGAAGAAAAAGAAAGGAAAGGAAAAGAAAAAAGAAAAGAAAAAAATGATGTGAATAGCCACGTGTGCATCGTGTCAGGTCACATAGGAGCCACGTCAGCAGGTACCTGTTGATCGAGCGAGTTACTTGTTAAAAGTCGGTTTTGATGAAAATAACAATGTAGGAGGACTTAATTGATGAAACTTAAAGTATGAGGGCATAATTGACTTTTCTTACAAAGTACGAGGGTCAATTATTTAAATAAGGAGAAAGATAATTTATTTGTTAATATTTATGTATCTATCTGTCATGACACATGAACGTTGTGTACATCGCAACATTCGAACATGATGCTCTAAATAGATGCTTTTGACAAGATGACATGCGCAAATCAAGAAATGGTCCATCTTGCTTTGAAAGGTCATCATCCCATCAAAGTGTCGAGGAAGTAGTCCTATACTCCCAACTTAAATGTATATTAGTATATAGATTCTACATAGAATCCCTTCATTCTAGAATTTCCACTCATCTATTCCAATTATTATTATTATTATTATTATCATCATCATCATCATCAAATGAAGCACTAATATAATCAAAATTAAACTAAAATTGGAATGTTAAACGAAGTAATATTAGGAGATACTAGACATTTTATTTCTCTTTTACAAAATACTAATATTATATTCACTAACCCAAATATCCAAAATTTCCATCTCGCACGTTCTTAATTTATCTTCTTCATCTTTATCCATTTCTTCTCCTTTCAATTTCGCAATTAAAAATCACTCGAAGTCTAGCTTCTTCACACATGCGTTCCTTTGAATGGAATAGAAAGTTACCTTGCTATCTTCTTTTTACGAAAGGAAATCTAAAAACTATATTAATGTAATCAAATATTTGTGTTACAACCATCTAAAAGCTCAAAATTCGATCAACATTCTTCCATTAGACTCCAACTAGCCTAAAAGCGCTCTTGTCACCATACACTTTCCTACTTCAAAAATTTCAAGAGAATCGATTTTCGTAGAGGCGAAAAAAATTCTCAGTGGCACAGAAAATATTGTTTGTGGCACAATTTTTTTTTGTCATTATTGTTTTTGTTTTATCTAAGGACGTGACATATTTGAACATGTTCTCTCATAAGATGGGAAAGTGCCTTGATACGGATCGTGCTGATTTTACTTCATACCAACATCGATATTGAACCAAGATCAGCTTATAATCACCTAAGGTCAATTTCTAGATTTTTCTAAACTAATGAAGGCGTAGCTGTTCTAAATATACACATGGAACAACTGAACAAGGTTAATTGTTCTACATTTTGAGAATAGTCAAATACCTAACTACGTAGAGAACTTGTGCATTCTTTTTTAACATATACCCATATGACCATGTATATATATATATATATATATATATATATATATATATATATATATATATATATATATATATATATATATATATATATATATATATATATATAGGGTTGGGTTGTAATGAGAAGACATCTTAACGTGAGAAGTGAAAAGTTACACATTTACCTATTCCTGATACATTTTTTTGGTAATCTGATGCACTTTTTGCGATGGCAGAAAAGTTCCGATTATATATATATATATATATATATATATATATATATATATATATATATATATATATATATATATATATATATATATATATGCGTAGTTTAATAAAAAAAATATGTGTAGTTTAATTAAACTTCTTCACTCTATCAGTGACTTTTAACTGTAGAGAGTAAATATTATAAATAGTGTAAAGGTTAGGTTTAAACTCCCTAATTAAGCCAACTTTTGCAGTGGTAAAGAACTCAAAGATGGTCCTGTAAATTTTCTGGAAATTTTTTTTTTAATAAATAATTGATGATAGCCTTTCAACAATCTTTCGTATTTTATTGGCAATGCTTGTTTCTCAAAATTGGAGTATATGTTTTGCTCAATTCCAAGAGAGCGAAGGTTTTGGTGGATCTTAAATATACAAGGACAAGGCTTGAGTAGTGGAGACAACTTAGGCAAGGCTATTCAACAACACTAAATATAGACTTGGACTCGGGCGGGGTGGCCCGACCCGGAACTGGCCCGGTCAGTGACCGGTCCGGGTCGGCCTGACCCGATGGGTTTCCGGTCCGGTCTCGGATCACCCAAAACAAGGCCCGGCCGGCCGGGCTCGGTACGGGCCAATTTGAATTTTTTTTTGGTTTTTTTCATTTGTTTGGGCTCCACCCGGGTTGGACTTGATGTTTAGGAGGGGTTTGGGGGTATGGGGTGTGGGGGTGAGGGGGGTCAGGGATGGGTAGGTAAGCTATTCAGAATCCCTGGCCCGGGCCCAACCCGGCCTGAGTCCAAGTCTAACTAAATACAGGTATCCTCTGCTCTACGCCTCTTCCCTCTACTTAGTGCATCTTTTTTTTTTTTGGAAGAAGATTACTTAGTGCATCTTTAATACATCAAAATCTAAATAAAACATTAAACATATTTTTCGATAAACATTCTCTTAATACTTTTTTTTTGGATGAAATGTAAATTTATATTAACACCCAAAGAAAAACTATACATCAAAAGGTTCTAGATCTCCTAAAACATCTCCCACACCTACCTAGTGTAGGGGTTAGGAGAGGTTTTTATTCGATCTAATCAAAATCAAAAGGGGGCCTAAGTATACAATATTAAATGCCCCAAGAGCTCAAAAACCAATCGGTGTTGCTGGGTGCACGCACACAGATCACAAACATACATCAATCAGAAGAAAATGCATGGCCAAGAGGAGGTTATAATGCACACTCCCCTTAGCCCAAAACAAAAATCATGGTGTTGCATGATGCACACACACTAGTCCCCAAACTGTTGATGGCGCGGCTTCGAAAAGGAGACAACATCCACTCATCAAAGGTTGACATTGTCATGCGGGTATAAGCTATATAGGATCTTATACACCACATGCTTGATCTTAGCAATCACGTCTGTTTCCGTCTTCGTTCCTTCATCAAATCGGATCTCATTCCTCGCATGCCAAATGTAGTAGACCGCGGCACAAAATGCTAGATGGGCAGCCTTGGCCTTCATCGTTGATCCCTTGTGTGCCTTCGTGATTAATTTGATTGAACTAAGCATTGTTGTCATTTGGCGTCCAATTCCAATCCAACCCTTGATTTCATCCCATACCCTACAAGAAAACCGGCAAAGAAAAAATAGGTGTAAAATTGTTTCCAATCCACCCTTACACAAGTCACACCTATTGACCATGTGAAGGTAACCGAGGCTATCTTATGTGGGCAGTCGGTTCCTCAAGCCCAACCAAACATTAAACGAAAATTTTGGGGGATGTAGGACTTCCAAATGAAGCTCATTGGAGTCCTAGTGATCCTCTTTACTCGTAGAAGCTGATAGATCTTGGCCGATACTAGTTTCCCATTGATACTCCTTGCTAGGGATGGACTCGGGTCGGGTGGCCCGACCCGGAACCGGCCCGTGACCGGTACTGTTCCGGCCCGACCCGACCCGGTGGCCCGGTCAGTGACCGGTCCGGGTAGGCCTGGCCCGTGGGTTTTCCGGTCCAGGCTCGGGTCACCCAAAACAAGGCCCGACCCGGCCGGGCCCGGACCCGGTTCGGGCCAAAACCTTTTGTTTTCTTTTTTTTTTAAATTTTCGGGTTGGGCTGGGTATTTTGGACCATTTGGGGTGGTTTGGGGGTTGGGGGTGGGAGGGGGTTAATTAGGAAGAGGGAAAAAAAATGATAATGGGCCCAGCCCGGACCCGGACCGGACCCGGTGGTTACCCGGGCCAGTCCCGGGTCCAACATTTCTGAACCACCGGCCCGCCCGGGCCTAGGCCTGACCCGGACCCGGCCCGGACCCGAGTCCATCCCTACTCCTTGCATTGAGGCCCATTATGGTGTCATTTAAATTATTAAAGTATCCTCGTATTTTATCTTGTATTTGACTTCTCTTAATACTTTTTAGTGTTATGCATTGATTCAACCCCAAAACCAGGTTTGGCAGGTTAGCAGGTGGATCAATACCAAACTAAGGATACAGATCGGTCCCGGCCAATCCCGGTTCTAAATAATTGAAGCCCGGTACCGACCCAATTTGGTCTGATACCGATTCTGTTCAGGGTCAAAAGAGTACTAGCCAATACCCGCCCATTATTTTTTAAAAAAATAGTAGCAGTTGGGACCAGGCCGGGACCTGCCAGTCCCAAAATTATTGTTGAAGCCCGACCCTCCTCTTCTACAATCCAAGGTACCAAGATGGTACCGGTACCGGGAAATCAAGCCTGGGCTGATACTGACAATACCGGTCCCAGATCATTCCCGGGTCAGGCCGCCCAGACCCAGTTAGGGATGGACCGGTTCCAGTTCGGGCCCGGCTGGGCCTCGATTCGTGAAAGGGGAGGCCCGGAACCAGCCCGAGTAACCACGGGTCCGGTCCAGGCCGGGCCGAGCCGAGCCTCGATTCTTATATTTTTTATTTTGGCTTTTCCTAATTCACTCCCAACCCTCCCCCCCCCTCGCCGCCAAACCACCCCAAACCACCTCAAATGGCCCATCATACCCAACCCAACCCAAAAACTTAAAAAAAATCAAAAAAAAAAGAAAAAAAAATAATTTGGCCCAGACCGGGACCGAACCAGCCAGGCCAATTCACGAATTAAGAGGCCCGGGCCCGGCCCGCCTAACTCACCGGGCCGGGTGGCCCGAACCGGGCACCAACCGGTTCACCGGGCCGGGCTGGGCCCGCACAGTAGCGTGTCAGTCCGGTTCCAGGCCGGTTGGCCCGGCCCGAGTCCAAGCCTAGACCCAGTCCATCCCTAAACTACACCCAGTTAAACAATCTTAAGTGAGGGTGGACATGTATGGACTATGGAGTAGGGATGGATTCGGGCCGGGTCGGGCCCGGTCGGGCCGCCGGTTCAAGAAAAGTGGGCCCGGGACCGGCTCGAGGGTTGGACGGGTCCGGTTCGGGCCGGGCCACCCGCCCGGGTCACGGGTCGGGTCCGATTCGGGCCGGTTAATTTTTTTTTATAATTTATATTTTATAGTTTATAGTTTTATACGAGTATTAAAAACAAACTTCAATTGCATTTATTTGAAATGAAATAGGAACTACATTTGAAAATTAAAACAAACTTTAAGAGATAAACATTTTGAAAATTGTAATCAATCGGAACTTCTCGCACCTCCCGATCCTTTGGCTTTGTCACATGACTTCATATGCTTGATAGCCATCCCGAATCCGCCTGAAGCCCCCATGATACATTTTTTTTCGCACCATTTGCAAATTGCGTACCACATCCCGGTCTTCGGGTCCTTCTGCTTATCAAAATTATACCGTATAATGGCATTTTGATTTTCCATCTTAACTTCTTGGAGAAGAGAATTAGAGAGTAGATATATAATATATTGGAGAATAAGAGAATTAGAGAGTTAAGAATAGGATTTAGGAAGAATTGGAGAAGAGATATGAAAAAATGTTTAAGAGTATGAGTATTTATAGGTTTTTTTACCCCCCACCCCCCCCCCCCCCTACCAGCCAACCCCCTCGGACCCCCCCTTTACCCCACCCAACGGCTATATAGCCGTTTGGGTTGTCCCCAGCCCCACCCCCAAGGCCTCAACGGCTAGTAGCCAAAAAACAAAAAAAAAGTTTTTTTAAAAAAATATAGACCCGGACCCGAGCCCGACCCGGCCGGGCCGGGTCACAAAAATGATGAACCGAGCCCGCCCCGCCCCTTCCCCCCGGTTCGGGCCCATACCCGGTCCCGGACCGCCCGGACCGGTCCCGAGCCCGCACAGTACCGGGCCGGGCCGGGTCACGGGCCGGGTGGCCCGAACCGAATCCAACCCTACTATGGAGTGTTAATCTGCCTGTTCGCGAATCAAAACAAGGTAGTACATGTATGGAACATCAACAGCCCATTTGAAAACCAAAACCAACTCATGTATGGACTATGGACCGTGGAAATCAAAACCAACTCGGCAACTCATGTATGGACTGTTAATCAACAGGGAATCAAAATCAAGTCAGAACTAATCCATATTTGCCCTCGTTTCAGTAAGGTTTAATTCAAGATAAAGTACCACAATATCTGGGAATATTGTGCTCTAATCATACATGTCTTGTGACCTACATTTCCAGTTTGCCTTTTTGCTTAGCAAGACATAAACCCAACACCTGGCCATATTTACCAGACCATATCAGACATAATCTCCTTGATTTTATAGGCAAATATACCTGCACATATGGAGAGGAAAAAGAAAGCAAGTTTTGCTCAACCCGCCACAATGTTATGCCAAAATGTAGTATCCATGTTGTACATGTTGGATTGATGGATGGCATGGCATGAGTTTGCTATGTCTTGGGTAAAAGGATATACAGACATGTATTCTGAATTGTCAATATAATATGAAGGCTTTATGGATTACACGAGATAGAGGATTAGAGGCTACCAATTAATTACCATTGCAAAGTGAGAGCTCACAAAACATCAAATGTTCCATCAATATGCTATGGAGACTTGATCCCATAACTTCTCTCCCTTGCACACAATGAACTTGGAATACAGATGGCTTTTTTCATACACAATATGTTGGGTTACAGACCATCTGGATGAAACGTGAAGTAGTAAAACCATCACATACCCATACACTATACCAAAACTTGGATTAGTAAAACAGCTCACAAACACAAGTGCAAGAAAAATGTGAAACTAGAATTGCATTGACCTAATAAAAAATAGCAACATAGCCTACAGGCAAAACAAAGATCACTTGGATCAAAGCTTCTGTTTCTTTTCATCGGACTGGTTTGTTCCCTTCTTCATCTTAGCTTCACGGCGTTCTCTCTTAACTCCTCTAGCTTTGTTAGGCAGTGGCACACTCCCAATCTACAAAAGAGAGAGAGAGAGAGAGAGAGAGAGAGAGAGAGAAATGTCAACAATTAAATACAAACTAAGGGTGCAGAAGCTGGAGGTTGATCATCATGATGAATTACTCCATATGCAGCTCGTGGAATTGATGACTCATCATCCATCAATACATGTGTCACAACTTTACAGAAATTATCTAATATTACTACGAACTAAGCATGTTCTTATGGGATGCTCTGCTATATCCAAACCAGCACATTATCCCAAAAAATCTGTCTCCACTCCTATAGAATCCAAACCAGCACATTATCCCAAAACCCTGTCTCCACTCCTTTAGGATCCGAACCAGCACATAATGCTCTGTTGGATCCGAACCAGCACAATGTGGTCTGTTTATTTTTCACTATAAGGGGTGATAGAATTGGATTGATTAATGAAATAAGGTCATATCATATGTCTAGAATATTATTATTATATAGAACTACACTATCTCATAGCCAGCATTAAAATCAGATTTTGTTTATCTTCAAAATTTAATTAAGTCCCTTGCATATTTTATGAATCATATTTTAGGAAATTACGAAAAATTGCTAGAGGATATTTGTAATCAGATGCAATCCAATCAATCCATGTTAAACAATGTTTATCAACCATTGTATTAATAATCTCATCATTCTACTGTCCTAAATATCTATGTCCAAGGAGCACAGCCATCATTTATGAAATAATATACTACAAGTTCACATCTGACAGGCGGTAAAAATCATAAAGATCAGATTGGTTATTTGGTCTTACCTCCTGATCAGGAATATAAATCTTCCCAATTTTCCCTTGAATAGTATCTTTGGAGACATTTTTCTCCTGAAAATGGAAACGGAATTAGCAAGAGTAGGTAAAGATTTCCATCAAAGTGATAAGGAAAACCATAGGGTAGAGTGAATAACAAACCTTCTTCTTTGCTTTCCCAGGAGCAGTTTTCATAGCCTCTTTCTTCAATCTCTCATCAGGCATGCGATGCCTTCGAAGCACCAAATCCATTGACGGACCAACCTCAACTAGTTCTACCCTTGGCACAATGGTGCCAGATTTTTTAAGACGTAATGCACAATGAGTTAAGAAGACCTTGTTTGATGACAAAGCTGTGCATACATAAACACGATCCAATCCAGATAGATTCAAATTTGTCACGACCTGCATAATGGCCAGCCTATGATTGCGCTTGTCTAAAAGAGAAGATAGCATTACAGAAAGAGTAGAAGAAGCATTAGACAAACCTCCCCATTAAATAAATCAAGTAAAACTTCTTTCAAATGCTTCAGCTCTTCAACACTCTCAAATCCTTCTCCAATGAAAGCAAAGAAAGGTTTTGATCCAATTTTAGGAGCCAGTTTTTTATCATATGAGAAAGAATCCATGCTTTTGAAGTTCTCCACACCCACCTCAACAAGATCATAAATGTGGTGGTCGTACCCTCTTCCAATTACAAGATTATTAGGTCGCTTCTTTGAGTGAGTCCCAAACTGCAAAAGAATACGGCATAAACATAGAGGATTACTGGTCACTACTAGTTGTCTCACTGGTCACTACTAATTTAAATTATGTAGGGATCCAATATTTGCTGCCACAAGATAATTACAGTGACCAGAGATAGATTAGGTGAATATATTCAGCTTCTAGAAATAACAAAACTACTTGGTAAAATTTAGTACTTGAAAATAAGGTGTACATCACATTATTAATTTGATAGATTTTAGCCTTGAGCAAAACCATATGTTACACAGGAATATAAAATGTGATTATTTTTTCCATTTTCATATCTAATATAATTGTGAGTCCATGCATCAGCATGTGTACATGCCACCCACGTAAGTATACTGTACTTAGCACACAGTCACACAGATAATCATAACCCCACCAGTAACAAAAGATGGATACATAAAAAATCAAAACATAGTAAAGGGATTTATACTTGCCACAAAAATGCTGCAATCAGATTTTTGAAGAAAAAACTCCAATGATGTTTCACCCCCACTTTCAAAAGGCCTGATATTCCCGTTCTTCCTGCTATACTTAACCGAATTATCCCTCTTAAGGTGATAAATCTCGGTGAGTAAAGCATTCAATACGTGGTTAGTTTTTGAACCGTGAAGTATTAAAGTTTTCTTCCCATCTTCGACCTGCGAAACACACACACCATCAAAGTTATAATTTCAAAGATAAAATTCATGTCGCCTTCATCAAATATCTACAAATTTTAAAAATATACACACACACAACACTTGAAAATACTCATTAGGTGGAAAATATCAAACTTACGATTTTAGGTGCACGTTTATCAAGCTCTCTCTTGATTCTTTTCTTCGTCGGGGTCTTTATTTTCATCATTTTTAGCTAATAAGAGGATGTGCGCCGGAAGACGGAGGGGGTTAGGGTTTTGGTGTGAAGAGCGGAAGACCGGGTTAGGGAAGAGCGGAAGAAGACGAGGAAGGGATACAAATCCTTCAAATAGGATTTGTGTTGCACTCCCTGACATTTAATTTAATTCAAATAGAATGTTTTTACACACTTTTATACACACTTTTGTACACACCTATGTTCGTGAAAGTTATTTTTTTTTGTCTATGAACATCGATTCACAGAAAATGTTTTGCGCAAACAAAATATTGTCTGTGAACCGGGTTCACAAACAAAAAAAAAGCTTCACAAACATGGTGTGTATAAGTACAAGGTTGTGTACATCAAGAATGGTTGAATTTAATTTCACTAAATGAAATAAATTTAGTGAACCCAAAACCGAACCAATATTGTCTCGACTCTCGATATGATTCCATAGGCCCATTTTGCTCATATTAACGGTTATAGTGGTAAGGTCCATTTTCCACTGTCTAAATACTTAAAGGTTTTGTATTGATAATCACTATGTTCAGAAGCTCAGCCAATTATCACCATGCAAACATCGATCCATGAGGTCCATTTAAACCCTTGCGGCCGGTTTCGGCACACTCAGTCCATTAGGGTAGATTTTACCATCCTCTTTCCTATAAATAGAAGGTTTCCCTCCATGTTTTGGAATCCCTCTCTTCTCCCCCTTCACTTCTTCTCCAACCTCTCTCTAGATTAGCTAAAAGACTCTATTAATTAATGGTAGCTTCAAGATTTATACTAGGGAGAACTATCAAATAAGCCCTCGAACTTTCATAAAAAGTGCAAATAAGCCCTTTTACAGGAGACTTTGTCCGGCTGCCGCCATTTGGGCGGTTTCCGGTGGAATTTTTTGATGATTTTTTTTTTAGAATCTTCTTCATTAAGTCTAGTTTACCTATACCAAATGTCGGCTAAAATTTCAACTGGAAAGGCGGTCAAATGAATTTTTGAAGATAACTGCGCACTTAGACAGCGCAGTATATTTCAGAAAACCATTTGACTGCTTTCTCGATTAAATTTTTAGCTGAAATTTTGTATGGATAAACTAGACTTAATGAAGAAGATGATAAAAAAATTTCATCAACAAATTCCACTGGAAACCGCCCCAAATGGCAACAGTCGAACAAAGGATTTTGCAAAAGGGCTTATTTGCATTTTTTATGAAAGTTCGAGGGCCTATTTGATAGTTCTCCCTTTATACTATGTAATGGTAAGGAGAGCCTATTGACAATGAGAATGGCTTGGATTTGGGGGGTTGCTATGATTCTGGTTTAATGTGGAAACTCAGAAAGTGCTCTGATATCACTTGTTACAATTTAGGTTAAGTAAAACGATAAATTAAAGAGCAAGAACACAAGAATTTACGTGGTTCGCACAATCGGGGTGATTGTGCTAGTCCACGGCGAACGAGAGAGAGCAGTGTATTATTATGTCGGTGTCAGGACTGAATTTATTCATATCCCGGGTAGAAGTCGCTGCATTTTGTCCAAACGGCGCATGCACAACCCTACCCTAGACCACTCACTTGTCTCCCAACAGACAGGTGTTTAATCATAGTTCACGGGGAACCGCATCTCTCATTACTGTCTCCTTCCGAGGCAAGTAATACTGACTACAGTGGCCTCAGCCCCATGCCACTGAACTTTCATTGATCACGTCGTGTCTAGTTACTCACTCCCAAATGTTATGAAATTTTCTAGGACACAGACGCACTTTTAGAGTCAGTTGCAGGTCTTCATGACCCGCGAGAAATTCCATAGGTCTCATCTATTACAGATGTAGACCAATAATTGGAAGGAAGTCCTGCTGTTGCAACATAAGAATCACCAACATTTCCAGGCCATTGCTAAAGAGTTTATCTCTATAGTGATGATAACGGGCATCTTCACGACCCCGGGGGGCTACATTATCTTCTTTAGATTCTGCTTGTTTTTTCCTGTTTTTTTTTTCGCAGAATAAAAGAATAAAAACATGACGTCCCAATTCATCGGATCGTCATGAGGGGGAGAGTGGTCCACATGCTGTTAACACTGAACAAATCATTCTGGGACACTTCACTCCTCCATCACAAAAATCAACACCTTCTCTGCTATCTCTACAACTCAAATCAAATGGTCAGCTACACTCACAATTCAACCATCATTATGTTCCGCTGTGCCACCAACAAGTTCTCCTCAAAAGCATTCATTCCAAATAGTCAAAAAGACTACATTGTGGAGGGGACAGAGGTCAGATACTCGTGTCCTGAAGATGCATTCCATGGGCGTCTCCTATTCTCCAAAGAATATTCATTCTAGAAGCGTCACCGGACTTCATCCAAGCTGATCAAGAGCAACTTCTGGAAGGCAAGGACTACATGCAAGATACTGAAGGTCCCTCAACCCCCGGTATCAAAGATCAAATTGTCAAGAAGACATCAAAGGGGAGATTGCAAGGATTTCTTCGGATAGCCTTCCTCAGAAGTCAAGTTTAAAGACAAAGGAAGCTCAATAACAACAAAGACAAAGATATCTGCGCTGCAATGCTGATTCAACACGATTGATCACCAAGGGGGAGATTGTTGGGAATATTTTATGGTGTTCAATCTAGTTAGTTATCTTTGTATTTGTGTAGTTATTAATTAAACGTGTAATACGGGCCACAAATGTGTATCAGCCTGTGGGCTTCCTTGTAACCCGTAAGTTAGCTAACTTCTCCTATAAAAGGAGGCTAACTTACGGGAACCCTAACTGATCAATAGAGGCTTAGAGACGCAGAGGCGTAGAGATAGAAAGATTAGGGTTGCCGCTGCTCTCCTTCTCCAGGGAGAGCAGCGGACAGTTCATACGGTATACCAGATTGGGTTTTAATCTTGTCGATATCTTTCTATCTGCTTCTTTTATCACTGCTATGGTTGTATGATTGTTAGTATTCTGGGATTAACATAGTCATTACACGTACATAAGTTGTGTTTAAATAGGTTTAAGAAAAACATAAACAAAGATTAGAGCCGCATGCCCAAAATTAAGCTCGTAATTAAAATTTAGAAATGTGCAAGCTAGATAAATAAGAGGATGTGCGCCGGAGGGAAGAGCGGAAGACGGGGTTAGGGTTTTGGTGTGAAGGGATACAAATCCTTCAACCTCTGGACACGTATTATGATATTTTGTGTTGTACTCCGTAACATTTAATTTAATTCTAAAATGATGTTTGTACACACTTTTATACACACTTTTGTACACACCTATGTCTGTGAAAGCTATTTTTTGTCTGTGAACATCGATTCACAGACAATGTTTTGCACAAACAAAATATTGTCTGTGAACCGGGTTCACAGACAAAAAAAAAGCTTCACAAACATGGTGTGTATAAGTGTACAAGGTTGTGTACATCAAGAATGGTTGTAATTTAATTTTACTAAATGAAATAAATTTAGTGGACCCAAAACCGAACCAATATTGTCTCGACTCTCGATATGATTCCATAGGCCCATTTTGCTCATATTAACGGTTATAGTGGTAAGGCCCATTTTCCACTGTTTAAATACTTAAAGGGTTTTGTATTGATAATCACTATGTTCAGAAGCCCAGCCATTATCCCCATGCAAACACCTATCCATGAGGTCCATTTAAACCCTTGCGGTCGGTTTCGGCACACTCAGTCCATTGGGGTAGATTTTACCATCCACTTTTCCTATAAATAGAAGGTTTCCCTCCATGTTTTGGAATCCCTCTCTTCTCCCCCTTCACTTCTTCTCCAACCTCTTTCTAGATTAGCTAAAAGACTCCATTAATTAATGGTAGCTTCAAGATTTATACTATGTAATGGTGAGGAGAGCCTAATGACAATGAGAATGGCTTGGATTTGGGGGGTTGCTATGATTCCAGTTTAATGTGGAAACTCGGAAAGTGCTCTGATACCACTTGTTACAATTTAGGTTAAGTAAAACGATAAATTAAAGAGCAGGAATACAAGAATTTACGTGGTTCGCACAATCGGGGTGATTGTGCTAGTCCACGGCGAACGAGAGAGAGCAGTGTATTATTATGTCTGCGTCAGAGTCATTACACGTACATAAGATGTGTTTAAATAGGTTTAAGAAAGACATAAACAAAGATTAGAGCCGCAGGCCCAAAATTAAGTCCGTAATTAAAATTTAGAAATGTGCAAGCTAGAGAAATAAGAGGATGTGCGCCGGAGGGAAGAGCGGAAGACGGGGTTAGGGTTTTGGTGTGAAGGGATACAAATCCTTCAACCTCTGGACACGTATTATGATATTTTGTGTTGTACTCCGTAACATTTAATTTAATTCAAAAATGATGTTTGTACACACTTTTATACACACTTTTGTACACACCTATGTCTGTGAAAGCAATTTTTTGTCTGTGAACATCGATTCACAGATAATGTTTTGCACAAACAAAATATTGTCTGTGAACCGGGTTCACAGACAAAAAAAAGTTTCACAACATGGTGTGTATAAGGTGTGTACAAGGTTGTGTACATCAAGAATGGTTGAATTTAATTTTACTAAATGAAATAAATTTAATGGAGCCAAAACCGAACCAATATTGTGTCGACTCTCGATATGATTCCATAGGCCCATTTTGCTCATATTAATGGTTATAGTGGTAAGGCCCATTTTCCACTTTCTAAATACTTAAAGGGTTTTGTATTGATAATCACTATGTTCAGAAGCCCAGCCCATTATCCCCATGCAAACACCGATCCATGAGGTCCATTTAAACCCTTGCGGCCGGTTTCGGCACACTCAGTCCATTAGGGTAGATTTTACCATCCCCCTTTCCAATAAATAGAAGGTTTCCCTCCATGTTTTGGAATCCCTCTCTTCTCCACCTTCACTTCTTCTCCAACCTCTCTCTAGATTAGCTAAAAGACTTCATTAATTAATGGTAGCTTCAAGATTTATACTATGTAATGGTGAGGAGAGCCTAATGACAATGAGAATGGCTTGAATTTGGGGGGTTGCTATGATTCCGGTTTAATGTGGAAACTCGGAAAGTGCTCTGATACCACTTGTTACAATTTAGGTTAAGTAAAACGATAAATTAAAGAGCAAGAACACAAGAATTTACGTGGTTCGCACAATCGGGGTGATTGTGC